AAAGAAAGAAAGAAAGAAAGAAAGAAAGAAAGAAAGAAAGAAAGAAAGAAAGAAAGAAAGAAAGAAAGAAAGAAAGAAAAGAAAAAAAAAAGAAATGCAGTTACAAAGACAGACTGTGGGTGAGACAAGGAGAAGTTGCCCAGGGAACTCAGCCTCCCTTCCACAGGCGGTGAGACCCTTTGCGACACAGCCCTGTCTTTCTTCTCTGGACAAGGTGGTCTGAGTCAGGAGTCCTGCATCCTGCTGGGGAAGCTTTAATTTCAACCACAGAAAGTTTGGAGCTTTGCACCCCAGGGACTCCGAGAAGAACAATGGCTCACTTTACCTGGAACTGCCTTGCCAAATGCTAAGCTTAGGCTCTTGAGGAGCCAGCCAACCGGCTCATTTAATCCCCCAATGCCCTGAAAGATGTGAGCCTGTGAGCAGGCTCTTTCTTTTTTGGTTTTGGTTTTTCAAGACAAGGTTTCTCTGTGTAGCTTTGGAGCTTGTCCTGGAACTCATTCTGTAGACCAGGCTGGCTTCCAACTCACAGAGATCCACCTGCCTCAGCCTCTCCAGTGCTGGGATTAAAGGCGTGCGCCCCCCCCCCCCGGCTGTGCAGGCTCTTATTACATGTTAGAGATCATGAAAGAAGCGACTTAGTCAGGGTCACAGAGCCGGTCAAGGGCAGAATCAGGATTTGAACTCAGAACCCATGCATTCTGCCTTTGCTTTCCTTGCAGCCTGCAGAAGTCATAAGGATAACTCCACAACTGTGGCTCTCCTTGATGATGAGCCATGTGCTAGGGAGCTCACAGAAGTCATTTCATGTGGCTGTCAACAGCCCAGCAGAGTACTATTCCTCTCAGGAATTTTTCAGCGTAAAAAGCGAGGCTGATGATGGGCCATGGTAGCACAGGCCTTTAATCCCAGCACTCGGGAGGCAGAGCCAGGTGGATCCCTGTGAGTTCAAGGCCAGCCTGGTCTACAGAGTGAGTTCCAGGACAGCCAGGGCTACACAGAGAAACCCCGTCTTGAAAAAAACAAAACAAAACAAAAAACAGCCAGGCTGAGGACTGGGATCATAGCTGGGTTGACTATACGGCAAGAGACCAGGGTTTGTGTCACATAAAAAGCAGGAATGATGGTACATACCCACAAGCCCAGCACTGAAGAGGTGAAGGCAGGAAGATTAGAATTTCAGGGTCACAGCTTCAGTTACAAAGTGAGTTCGAGGCCAGCCTAGCTCACATGAGACTTAGTCTAAAAAAATAAAGTAAAATAAAAAAGCCAGGTTTGGAGGTTTTTAAATCCCTCAGGTGGACAGTGGGAAGGACTGAAACCTGGGCTCAGGGACCCTGGAGTGGGGGCTTTCAGTGTCACTCAACATCGCTGTCAAGAGTGAGCACTAACCCCCAGACACGCTGGCTGCATCTGGACAGCCCCCCCCCCCACACACACACGCTTTCCTGATTCTCTGCCCCTGCTGTCTCAGTTAGGGTTTCTACTGCTGCGAAGAGACACCATGACCACAGCAACTCTTACAGAGGAAAGCATTTAACTGGGGTGGCTGGCTTGTAGTTCAGAGGTTTTGTCCATTATCATGGCGGGGAGCATGTTGGTGTGCAGGCTGACATGGTGCTGGAGAAGTAGCTGAGAGTCCTACCTCTTGCAGGCAACAGGAAGTGGTCTGTGACACTGGGTGTAGCTTGAGCATAGGAGACCTCAAAGCCTGCCTCCACAGTGAACACTTCCTCCAACAAGGCCACACTTCCAAATAGCGCCACTCCCTTTGGGGACCATTTTCTTTCAAACCACCACACCTGGGTTCTTTTTACTGGAGATCAAGGGTTTCCTGTGGTTTGTACAGACCTTGGTTACACACTAAGGTCATGCTCAGCTTGGTAAGCCAGAAGCCTATGGACTCTGAGGACTGAGGCTAGGAGTCCAGAGAGGCCCCAGAATCTTACCTGGCTCTGCCAACGCCCACACATCTCCATCCTTTGTGATCCCAGGGAGGGGACTGGACTGCTCAGCCCTGTTCTTTGTCAATAAGAGCTGGCTGGCATTTCCCATTCCTCTTCTAAATCCATGTTCTCATTTAATAAGTCATTAGTATGGTAATGACTGTATTGCTGGCTGGGGGATATGGTTACGGTTAAAAATCCAGAGTAGGCCAGTTGGGTGCTGGAAACTGCCGGTGTCGAATGAGGACATCTGCCCATCATAGCACGACCCCATTGGTCGTATTTAAAAGCAGGTGATGGGCAAGAGAAAAAGCCTTTCACTGGGCAAATGCTAACAGAGCCAGCAGGCTACTGTACCATTCTGCTCTCTTCCCCAGAACATCATTACTTTCTTGGCCCAGCTTTGAGTTATTTCTCCCCATTTCTTCATAAAGTGCAATGCACATCCCAATCTGTCCTCAGCTGCACAAAATGTTCCTAGCACAGCCTCGTTTATTCTCCGGAAGCCGAAGAGAAGCTTGGACAGCGCTCGGCTCCAGAGAAAGCTGGGAATCACCGCCTCGGTTCTCCGGGGCATATCTGCCTCCAGTCACTCTAACATGGCACCCAGGTACTCTGGACCCCTCCGGGCCGGACCAGGACAGAGCACAGGGTTTTGGAAAAGCCACGAAGTCCTTCCTGGTTTACAGGCCATGTCAGCTTTGCTCTCAGCCCCTGTTTCTCTACCAGGCTGCAACTCCCCTCACAGGAAGAAATGATTCTTCCAGACTCCGTATCCTACACTGCTAAAGACTGATGCCTGGTCAGCGGCTCCGCTGGCTGGGTTCACTGTTTTCTCTGTCAGCTTCCTCAACAAATAATTTGCCAAGGTTACTTCTGCCTGGTCAACATAAAAGGGGCACCCCAATGCAACTCACCACAAAAGCATTGAATTGTTGGGCTCTAAATCAGTAATGGGACCCATTCACACAGGCTTTGGTCTTAGCCACACAGTCTAGGTCCAGCACCAACAGGACCCCACCACACTCCCCTTGGAGGAGACAGCATTGGCTGGAGATATTTATTTATTTATCATGTATATAGTGTTCTGCCTGCATACCATAAGAGGACACCAGATCTCATTATAGATGGTTGTGAGCCAGGACTTCTGGAAGAACAGCCAGCGCTCTTAACAGCCAGTGCTCTTAACCTCTGAGCCAGCCCGTGACTAGAATTCTTATCCAGCCAGATCCTAGCTGGAGTTGGGTTAGCCTGAAACGTAGTCAGAGTCAGTGCTCACATGACCGTAACCGGGTCACGGCCCCAGCCCGGTTTTAGACCCTGGTTTTAACACCTGTGCCTGGGTGCTGCCTTCTGAAGTTAGCAGAGCTGAACAGCTGGTTCTGGACCCACTTAAGGAGAGCAGGGAACAGTGTCTGGCCTCCTGGCATAATACAACACAGTGGACTGTGCCCTGGACTCTGACTGTAAGACCTGGATTTTGTCCCAGCTTCACCGCTAACTCCTGAGAAAGTCCCTTAACTTCTCAGGCCTCAGGGCTTTGTTTATTTTTTTGTCTATAAAAGTGGGGTGGTTGGGGACTGGAGAGATGGCTCAGAGGTTGAGAGCACTGACTGTTCTTCTAAAGGACCCAGGTTCAATTCCCAGCATCCACAAGGCAGCTTACAACTATCTGTAACTCCAGTGCAGGCAAAACACCAATACACATGTAATAAAATAAATAATTTTAAAAAAAGGTGGGGTGGTGGAAGGGAGTCTACACCAACCAAGTGACTTCCAGGTCCTCTGGCTGTTTCTGTGTGAACAGGCAGTGTCTTTCTACTGTACTTGATGTTGTTGGGATAGAAACATATCTGCTGTGGCAGAGTCACCCCGGGTCTACCTGCTCTGTTAGCTAACCCCAAGGATGGAGTCTGAGGCAGACCAGAAAGACAGGGAAAATGATAGGGACATGAAAGGGAATCGGGGCCACTCACTCAGGAGTCTGAAGCTTCTCAGCAGCTGAGAATCAAGAATGCGCCAGGCATGGCACACACCTCTAGTCCAAGGGAGGCAGAGGCAGGTGGACCTCTGAGTTCGATGCCAGCCTGGTCTACAGTGAGTTTCATAGCTATGTAGGCAGCCAGGGCTGTACAGTGAGACCTTGTCTCCAAATAAACAAACAAACAAACCAACAACAAAAAAGAAAGAAAAGAGAGAGAGAAAATTAGAGGGAGGGAGGAGCCCCTAGAAACCAGCCTGAATGATGAGATCCCAAAGCTTCCAAATCTCTCATATTGTCACCACTGGGACAACACAGTTCAAATTTCCTTTGAGAAGCCCACACCGGCTCTCGGTATGTCCCACTCTCCCCCTGGGCACCTCTCTTTCTATTAACTCTTAGGCTTAAAGTCCACATTCGAAACCTCTTTTAAAGGACCGGAGAGATGGCTCAGTGGTTAGGAGCCCTTGTTGTGGTTATTGCAGAGGACCTAGGTTTGATTCCCAGCGCCCACATGGTGCGTCACAACCATGTGTAACTCCAGTCCCAGGTGATCCGATGTCCTCTTCTGACCTCAGGCACCAGGCCTGCGTGTGGTGTACAGAAATACATAACATTCACGAAAAACACCTATCCGCATAAAATAAATCTAAGAAGCATTTTAAATGTTTTTTTTCAATAAACTCCAATTCCACTTTGCAGTGATTTGTCTTAAAATGCTTTTCCTCAGCAAAGCCAAGAATTTGGCTTTACCAATATGGAAGCTACTAAAAGTTTAAGGAAGGGCTTTAAGCTACTGGTGGAGTTCTGGGCTGCCTCCCGTTATGCTAACACTGATTGAGTCCATTTGTTTTATTATTATCTTTCCTTGTGTTTATGTTATCTATGTGTTCCTGTATATGTGCATGCAGGTTTGTGTGCATGCATGTATGGAGACCAGATGTCAATTCCAGATGTCTTCCTCAGTTACTATCCCCCATATATATTTGTACATATATCTTATATATATGTATGTATATATTTAATTGTTTTATTTTATGTGTGTGAGTATTTTGCTTGCATGGATGTCTATGTGCCACGTGCATGTTCTGACACCTGCAGAGACCAAAATTGGGAGTTGGACTTTGTGGGCCTGGAGTTACAGATGGTTGTAAGCTACCATGTCAGTGCTGGGAACCAAACCTCAGGTTCTCGGGAAGAGCAGCCAGCGCTCTTAACCCCTGAGCCATCTCTCCAGCCCCTATCTTATTTTTTGAAAGGTGTTCTTTCACTGACCCCGGAGCTCACTCTTTAGACTGGCTGGCCAGCCAGCTCCAGGGATCAGCCCGTCTCCGCCTGCCCAGCGCTGGGGTCACAGGTGCCAACCACCATGACTCTTTTTACCTTGTGCAGGATCTGAACTCAAGTCCTCAAGCGTATGCATCAAGTGTGCCACTCACGGACCCAGCTTCCCCCACCCCCATCCCACTGACGTTTTTGAGACAAGGTCTCAAATAGCCAAGGCTGACCTTGAACTCACTATTCAGCCAAGGCCGACCTTGAACTTCTAATCGTCCCGCCTCTATCTTCTGAGTGCTGGGATTCTAGGGGTGTGCAACTATATCTAGTTTTATTTGATGCTGGGGTCAAACCCAGGGTCTTTGCACACTAGGCAAGCACTGTACCAACTAAACCATGTCCTCAGCCTCAGACTATTTCTCACTTACCTCCTTATCCCTAGCACTCAGCCACAGGGCCTACCCATGTCTGCCAAGAAGAACATGTGCATTAGATAGGGGTCTGGTGAATGAATGAATGAATGAATGAATGAATGAATGAGTTGTGTACTGGGAAATGTTAGCTGGGGGAATGATGTTCTGCCTATCGGGCCTATCCCACTCACCTGGAGATAGCAATAGCCTTGAACTCCTTGTATCCTTCTGAGATGGCCTTCTGGATGGCAGTCCGCTCGGCGCACACACCCAGTGGGTAGCAGGCGTTTTCTATGTTGCAACCTGAGTGGAGAGAAGAGACCAGTGGTACAGGCAACAGAGCTGTTTCCTGACGTGGATGTTGTAAGAGGTCCCTTGTGCTTTTATATCAACTTGACACAAGATAGAGTCATTTGGGAAAATAGAACTCTAGTTGAGAAAATGCCCATACCAGCAAGCCTCGGGGGCATTTTCTTGATTGGTGATTGATGTGGGAAGGCCCAAGCTCACTGTGGGTGGTGCCACCTGTGGGCTGGTGGTCTTGAGTACTTTAAGAAAGCAGGCTGAGCAAGCTATGAGGAGCAAGCCTGTAAGCACTACCCCGCCCCCCAGCACCCCAACCGTGGCTTCTTCTCCAGTTCCTGCCTTGAGTTCCTGCTCTGACTCCCCTTAGTGATGGACTAGGATGTGAAAATGTGGGTGAAGTGGACCCTGCCCTCCCCAAGTTGCTTTGTTCGTGGTCTTTATCACAGCCATAGAAACCAAACCCTAAGAAGGTCACTCCCCTAATCCAGGCCAGGGAGGGGCGATGTGTCCAGAAGCACTGAGGGACACCGGGGCACACTGTGGAGTGGATTTTCCGAGAATGCTCACGTCTTTGTTTCCCTAAGGTCTCATCCTGGTTTCCAGGCAGAAGACACCGCAACTGGGCCGGTGAGTAGCCTCATCACCCCTAAGGTCAAGGTCAAGGCGAAGAGAGATGCTGAGGCTTGACAAAGTCAACAGAGTTGATTGTGGCAGAGTGTGAAGAGATGGATTGCATTCCAGTGTGCAGAGGAGAAAACATAGAAGCCTCAGGTCTGGATCTAAGAGATGGAAGTGACAGGGAGGGCCGGCATGGGTCTGAACGCTTTTGTTTTTTATCTTACTCATTTTTTATTTTATGTGTATGTTTTGCCTACATGTATGTATGAACACTACATGTGTGCCTGGTGACCACAGAGGGTGCTGGATCCATTGGAACTGGAGTTACAGATGGTTGTGAGTCACCGTGTGGGTGCTGGGGACTGAACCAGGGCCTCTATGAGAGCAGCCAGTGTTCTTAACTTCTGAGCCATCCTTCCAGCTCCCCAACACTCTTAGCAAGTGTGTCACCAGTGATGATGTGACCAAGGAAGAGGTTCCCAGAGAGCTAAGCTAGGGACCCCCGTTTGAACCTGTGCGTGAGGGCACACTCTAGTGTGTACGGGGGACCCTTGGACAGGGTTCTCATTTCCAGAACAGCCTTGCAGCAGAGAGCAATGCAGCCCACCAGCCTGGACTGCAGCCCCCTCCTGGTCTGCCAAGGAGAGAGAGATAGGCACCATCTTCCTGCAGGTACCGGGTCTGTATTTGTTCCTGCCTGGCATGCTACCCATGTGTGAGTCCGAGTGTTCTTTATGATGCTGTGGTATTTTGTCCCTAAGTGTGTATTAGATGTGGAAGCTGTAAGAGAAGTCACTGAACATAGGGCTGTTGCCAAAGTCAGTGTCTTCTCCTGGATTTTCCTGTTCCTTCATGATCTATGTCAGCATATCGGGAGCGAATACATGTATTATGTAGCTCATAGCTCTTGGGACTGTAAGAATCCATGGTCCAGAACTGATGGCTGTCACTAGCCATAGCTGTAAAGTCTCCTGGGAGAAAGGCCAGCGTGTTTCATGGCCAGGCTGGGGCTTGCTCGGAGTTGCCAGGTAGTGACAGGTCCCTATATCGGGGAAGAAGGGCAGGTGTACACTGTGGTACTACGGGTGGACTTCAGTGAACAGTGACTGTTTTTGACATCTTGATATCACTTCCTCCTCCTTTTTTATTTTGTTAGTGTGTGCGTGTACATGTCTGTATATATGTATGCATGTACATACATATGTGTGCACACTTGTTCAGAGGTTGATGTTGGGAGTCTACCTCAATCACTTCCCACCTTACTTATGATTATGTGTATACAAGTATGGGGGCGTCTATGCACATGTGAGTGCAGCTGCCTGTGGAGTTCAGAACGGGGTGTCTGATCCCCTGGAGCTGGAGTTACAGACGGTTGTGAACTGTCTGACAAGGGAGCTGGGTACCAAATTCAGGTCCTCTGCAAGAGCGGTTGGCGCTATGAGCTGCTAAGCCACCTCTCCAACCCTAACCTTTCTTTATTTATTGACTATTGTTATTTTCCCCCCAGAGACAGGGTTTCTCTGTGTTGTTTTGGTGCCTGTCCTGGATCTCGCTCTCTAAACCAGGCTGGCCTCGAACTCACAGAGATCCTCCTAGCTCTGCCTCCCGAGTGCTGGGATTAAAGGCGTGTGCCACCATTGTTCGGCACTATTGTTATTTTTTTTTTAAGACAGGAATCTCTTACTAGACCTGGAGCTCCTCAATGCATCTAGTCTGGGTGGCCATCAAGCCCAGGGACCCCACTGCCTGTCTTTGCCTGCCCTGATCTGGGACAAGAGGTACACACTTCCATGCCAGCTTTTCACATGAGCAAGCACTTTCTGGATGGACTCATCTCTCCAGGCTCTTCTTCTCCATTTTATAAAGGGTCACCTCATTTCCAGCAGGTATTCAAACAGAAGCAGCCATCATTTCTCACATGATCCTCCTACCAGCTGGCCTACAGATGAGCATCTGACCAAACTGGCCAATCAGGGTTCTTCTCTGTGTAGACCTTCTGTTCTGCCCTGAAACAGCGCTGAGGATGGCCACATTCCCGTTTGTTCTGGAAGGGACCGTTAGAGAGCCTTTGCACAGACGAATGAGGGACAAGGAAAGCTCTGTGCCTGTGCAGATGTCCTCGAGGCCCGGCTCTTCTCCACTTCCTTCCACCATGTGCTTATGTGAGCGCATGCATTTCTTTAGTCTACATGTTCACGTGTAGTTTAGTTAGATACACCTTTAGTTCACGTGTATCTCTGTCACTGCAGTCATGAAGAAGCCAAGGAATGCAGCCATGATTCAGGATCTCAAACACCCCGAGAACATTCCTGAAGCTAGTCACCAAGGTCTCTTCCCTTATCTGGTCACTTCCTTCTCCTGAGGCTGACTACCAAAGTCCAGCTATCAGAAGCCCCCTTTGGTTCACCTAATTAACCTGTCCAATCAAAATTAAACACCTCATCCTAATGTGGGGGTTCTCATTTTACCTTTATAAATGCCATTTGCCTATGTGCCACGTCTGTCCTCCCTCTGTCCAAAGGCAGCCCTTTGTCTCTCCGGGACAAACATCCCTACCCCTCTCCCTTGTCCCCTTCCCCTTCTCCCTCATCCCCTGTCTCCTTCACCACCACACCCTAGCCCGTTCTAACCCAGACCTCCCCTCTTTCTCCTCTTCAAATGATACCTACAAGGTCATCTGCTGCTGTTTTCTGTCTGAGTCAGAAATCGGCCACTTTAACTTTCCTTCCCTGCTTCATAAAGGAGCTGTCTGTGAAAACAGGTGTTTGGATGTGGTTTGTGCGTAAGGCGGGGTCTGCGAGGGAGCCCCTGCTGTGTGGCAGTCCCCTTCAGGTACTGAACCTCAAATGATGTCACCCGTGCTGAGAACTTCCATGTCGCCAAATCAAAATGAAGTTCTCATCTGACCTTCTTAGAAGTCAGGAGAGACAGATAGAGCAGTGCACACTTGCAGTTCCAGAAATTGACAGATGGAGGCAAAAGGATCGCAAGGCCAGCCTTAGCTACATAGAGTTGGAAGCTAGCCTGGGCTTCATGAGACCCTATGTCAAAAAAAGAAAAATACTTATCAAACTTGGAGTAACTTCATCTTGTTTGTTTTATTTTTCTGTTGTCTATTGTCTTGGTCTTTCCGCTATGGTTTAGGTGCTGAGTGTCCCCCAAAGTCTTAGTACTCCCCAGGGTGGCACTATTGGGAGGTTCTGTGTCCTGGTAAGAGGTGGGACCTTGTGGGGGCTTCTTAGGTCAGTAGGGAGCGTCCTCCCTGGGGATTATGGGGAACCAACTGTTTGTCTTGCTGCTTTTGGCCTGTGGGGGAGCTTCTGTGTTATGTGTGTGGCCCTGGCCAGAGGCCCAGAGCGCAGGGCTGCTGGACCTTGGACAGGGACCTGCAGAGCTAGGAGCCAAAGCAAACCTTCACTGAATCAGTTTTCACCAAAAAAATAGCAGAACAATGAAATTTTATGACCAGCAGCTCTTTCCTTTTTCCAACTAGCCTGAGAATAAATGTGAAATTACACAACATAGAAACCTTTACTGTAAAGTCAACTGTATTTGATTACACGCTGCAAGACTGTGGGACACCGCACCCCACCAACAACGCAACCCCCCCCCCCCCCCCGGGAAAGTGACTGAAAAGGGCCAGTCAGGCTTTGCCTGTGTTTCTGCTTCAGCCTTTCTCTGCCTACAAACCAGCCACCTCCGCTCTGCTCACCTACATACGCTTTTTCTTTTCTCTCTCTCTCTCTCAACCTAGTTAAGTCAACTAGGTAAGTAGTTAAGGATGACCCAGAAACCTGCCTTTACCTAAGTTATGTACACTGTGGTACTACAGGTGGACTTCAGTGAACAGTGACTGCTTTTTGACATCTTGATATCACTTCCTCCTCCTTTTTTATTTTCTTAGTGTGTGCGTGTACATGTCTGTATATACGTATGCATGTACATGCATATGTGTGCACACTTGTTCAGAGGCTGATGTTGGGAGTCTATCTCAATCACTTCCCACCTTCCTCCCCGACTGAAGCATTCCATTCTCCTGAAAAGTTCATTAAGACAGCAAGTCAACAACTCAGACTAGCTTCAGGAAGTCCCTGAAACTGACGCGATTCACTAGGCCCCTCCCTCCCCAAGAGTAAAGAGCAAAGCATGCTGAGAATCACTCTCCGACAAATGGAGCTGCCTGGAAGAGGTTTGGACCAACTGAAACCCCTGGAAAGGACACTCCAACGGGTTGAGCCCTGTGCAAGATGTGCAGTGTGCTCCAGGTTCCCAGCTTTGTGAGCTGTTGCCATGCTGGGATGGGCTTTGGTGGTGCAGCTGTTTTTGAGAAATTTCTGCTCCTATAAGTAACCCCACACCCATGTTCTTCTAAGTAACCC